AAGATAAAATATAAGAAACCAAACAAAAATAAAATGGAATCATAAAATAAAATCCTGTTTCCACTTGTAAGTTTTGTGATTTGTGTCCATGAAAGTGTTTTTGGAGCTGAAAACCCCTGGCATTGCAAGAGAATAACAGTGCCACTGTTATTCAGCTCTGGGTGAGCACAGGCCGTGGAATGGGATGGCATGGAAGGGACTACACTAAACGAGAATAGAAATTGAATGGGTTATGTTACATGATGCCTACAGGTCTGCATGACAAGTGATGCACTAGGTCTAAGGGGTCCACTCAGGGGATCAGCTTTCTGCAGCGCAGGTCCCAGACCCATCCAGGAGATGGGGACAGGCTCATCTACAGTGTGGCTCAGGCAGAGACTGACAGCCCCAGGCTGAGCTGAGACACATCCCCTGGGCCCTTGGCAGGAGGCAGTGGGGTGGGGGTACCAATGGAGATGGGCCCTTTGAGCACCCCCAGGACACTGGCAGAAGCAGACCTGTCCTGCTCATAGGCTCTCTTTTAGACATTGATGCTTGGTCTCTTTGGCGGCTGAGCATTGGGCATATGGATCTTCTTTCCGATGCAGTACTGTTCTTAAGCTCTTGTGTCTCAGTATGTTTTCCCATAGGAAACAGCTCAGGCATTTCTAAAAATGAGTACAAGAAAATAAAAACAAATCCACGGGGAACTGAGCAGGTATTGCTCACCTCAAAAAGATTTGCAACCATTGGATTGAGAAGGATGTCCTGCTTCAGACTGAGGCTTCCAGACTCCCTAGTGCTAGAGATGTGGAAACTCAGATCAACTGGATGCACACAGAAGACTTCCATAATACCACCCACTTCGTCTTCTACTCTGGGGCCTCTGGGGAGATTTAGATGAGACATTAGGAAGAAACTCTCCCCTGTGAGGGTGGTGAGACACTGGCACAGGGTGCCCAGAGAAGCTGTGGCTGCCCCATCCCTGGCAGTTTTCAAGACCAGGTTGGACAGGGCTTGGAGCAACCTAGCCTAGTGGAAGGTGTTCCTGCCTGTGGCAGGGGGTTGGAACTGGATGAGCTTTAAGGTCCTTTCCAACCCAAACCATTCTACAATTCTATGAAACAGCAGCCATAGTAAAGCTGGAATACCACCCATCCTAGCTTCCATCTTGACTGGTTGATCTTCCATTATCTCAATCATGAAGAAGCTGTATTATAAACTACTATGTAGAACAGTAGAAGAGTTGGTCTATTTAAAATTTAGATCCTACAACAAATGTCTATCAACATCCACTGTGTTTTCTGATTGCCCTAAGAAAACTGTTATCCACTGTGTACTAAAATATAGTACTTATCTCTATGTTTAAAGAACAAGATACTGAAGAAAACAAACCCACATTCCAACCTTAATTAAGTCACTGATGCCAAGTTCAGCAATGGACAAAGCTCTGACTATCTGCCAAGAAAGCAAGAAACTTGTGTTGCCAACACCACAGCAATAATTCTGTAACAAAACAGCAGTGGAGCCAGAAAGAGGAACGTTATGGAAGTTCAGGTGAGAGTCCTGCTGTCCGGCATCCCTTTGGACATGTTCACTTTCTGCATTTTTACTTCATTAGCTCAGAAGCTAATGTCTTGTTAATAGATAAGGAGAAAGAAAAGATGTTGGATTGTTTTATATTACTTTTTTTAATGCCATTTAAGAAACAACAATTACTCTGTAGGCTCGTTTAGCACCTAATACTAAAGATACGTTCATGTATTTCTAGAAACTAATACAATCTGCACATCTCGAAAGACATTCCTGCTAACAACCCTTGTACAAGAGACCTGGAATATTGTCACAGAGATGCCAGAAAATAGCAGGGACCAAATGAACTGTTGGACTTGATCAGCTCACTAGTGTGCCCATGAGCAAGAAAAGAAAGCCTCTCTCAGTCATCCAGAGGGAAGGTATCAGTCTTCTGCTTGCATGGAAACTGGATTTGTAACACCTGCTTAGCCACTGACCACTTTTTGTCTCTTGTCAACAGTAGGGACATAAGCAAGTTAGGAGGATTGTTATCCTGTTCTTTCTTTTAGGATCCTTCACCTATGGTTTCTTTCAATCCCTCAACTTTTAAGGTGGCATCTGAAAGGTTGCATTCCTTCTCTTTTTCTAAGGAACAAATTAATTCTCTTTTCTTCTTTATTTTTATACCTACTTTGGCTATGCCACACCAATATTCTCTAGCAACTAATTCTTAAGTCACTACTGGTAATGAGTGAATTGTTAAAATTAAAACCACTTTTAGGGACAGCTGAGCTACAATACTGAGTGTACCTAGGATTTCTAATGAGACACATTGCATATGCCATCACTGTAAGACACTCTGCCTTGGCTGCCATCCCACTGAGCTAAAGCAGCATCATGTTAGAAATCAGCTATATCGTTGTGCCTGAAAAAGTGCCACTTCCTCCTTCACTTTCATCAGCAGCAAGAGCAAGTTGCACCTCAGGAACTACACAGTCTTCAGAGTACCACAGAAGGACCAAGTTCACTTCAGAGCTTTCCACAAAATTGCTGCAGACTTCACACATCAAGTGATGCCACTAGCCAACAACATCAGCATAGGCAATTTCAGCTCAATAGCATCAGTTTGTATATTCTTGATTCCATTGCTCAAGCCAGTTAAGTGCATCTGAAGGCAGTTAGGTCCAAAACAGCTCCATGGATGCCAGTTCAGAAGCTGAGGTTTGCCTACCCTCCAATCCTTTCATGTAATAGATTAATTCCTCGGCTGCAAAAAAGATCAACCTTTTAGACTATTGGCTTCTTATTCTGACATTGAGGGAGTACTTGAAAAAAAAGCCAGCTTGAAGCAGGTAGTAATGCCTCTTTCCCAGGGCAGCCAGAAGGAACTTCTTAAGTTCTAGGGAGGCCTCCCCTGCAACAAGACACTTCCCCAGCCTCAAGGGACAGGGGAACAGTTTCATATCAAAAACACCCTGAGCATGCAAATTCCACATGTCCATGAATGCAGTAAGTTAGCAGCTAGCAGGAACTTAATAAACACCTTTCCCACACAGAGTATTTGAGATAAACATGCTTCAGCTTATCCAATACAAAATATAAGCATGTCTGGGCAGCACAAACCAAAATAAGCCAGTGAAAAATGTGTTGTTTTCAGTGACTCATTTACCCCACCTGTAGAGCCCCTTTCAAATCTCTCACCCAATGGACCTTCAAACTTCCCACAGATAAAGGAAATGAAAAAAGAAAACTTGGGGGAGGGAAGGAGGAAATCAGTTTAACTTTCAACATTTCTTACACACATCAAAGGTCTTAGCCATGTAGTTCTATTAGGTTTCTGTACGGATCCTTGCAAGATGTATATGGAAAGGCTTTCACTGGTTTCACTGCATGAGACTGAAGAAAATGCAGACAATATAAATTTGAACTTTAATCTTTTTCTTTCCTGGAAAGCCATCTTAAAAGAAATGCTTAAATAAACTATATATAGATGACAGCAAGTTGCAAGGCTGAATACAAATCTCTGATCCAATACAAATATTTTGCCACTCAACTCATGACTGTGCACAGCAGTACTCAGGTCTCCCAAACTGAAGCACGGCACAGTTATAAATTCTCACAGTTGGTACTGGCATTTGTAATATCAGTGAGGTAAGTTTATGAGCTTTTTAAACCCAAAACACAGAAGACAGAAATGTTACAGTAAATAAGGATGAAAAGGAAGAGATAAGAGTGCAAATGACAAAGGGAAATGAGATTAAAATGTGCGGGGTGCAACATAGGTACAGAAACATTACCACAGGCATCCTTTAATACAGTGCAACATTTTTTTTTCCTGCAGACACTGGATGGTCTAGACAATTTCAGATATTCCTGGTAGTTAATCTCTCAACTTTGTTAGAGATTTGACAGGGTTGTAACACCATAAAGAATCTTTATAATGTACTTATCTTCCCTCAAAAAGGAAATCAAGTGTGTAGAGTATAAGGTGCATTTCATATGATTTGTTAGGATGACCTCCTCCTGACTTAGGAATGCATCTCCTATTAATAGACACACATCAAAAGGGCAACTGCAGACACAGAGAAGGGGGGAACAGTCATTGCTGTTTCAGCCTAGTACATATTAGCGATACTCCACGAACTTTGTTCCTCACCATCTGACCCTCTAGGATGGAGCAAGTAGCCACGGAAAATAACTTGCTTTTTTACTTTGTGTGGTGAGTTGGGGAGAGAGGGGAAGTGTTGTTTATGGGTTTTGGGTTTTCTTAAGAGGAAGTGAAGGTAGGAAGAGGTCAGAAAGAAGCAAAATGTAGAAGCTGGGGGAGAAAACAATGTTAATATGATCAATACTGACCAAACACTTGAAGAGTTTTTAAACAGGTAGTTGCTTCAGTTGAAACACATTGTGTTTTGATTACAAAGCAAGCCATGTCTTTGTCTGCAGTCAAGAAAAGCCTCAAAAGCCTCTTGCTTTTGGTAAAGTAACAGAAACCCTGAATAACATTCAAATTCTTATTAAAAATATCATTAACAATAACACTGCTTCCTGGCTATCACTGAACAGCTTTCCAGATTCAGTCCAGATTTAGAACAAGTTGTTCTAAAATTTTGTCCATTTTAAGTACTTGACAATTCAGTCATTTTAAGTAGCGCAAAATATACTGGGGGGATAGGACACACAGCATTTGTGCCAAAGAGCAAACACTTCTAGCTTATATGACAAGACGCAAAGCATAGGGGGATCTAGCCATAACAACCATTAACCTGACAACCCAGAGAGGCACCCTGGCATTAGAGGAGTCACAGGTGTACAAGCTCCTCCACGAGCAGCAACTGCACCTAAATTTGCCACCAGATACCCTGTCACAACAACCTCAGAGATCAGCATGAACCACTTGACCAAATGCAGGTAGATAAACACTCTCAGATCTCCTCACCGGTTCATTTTAAAAGAAAGCATGTGTCAATGTGCACTTCATATACGTTTTGACAAGGGCATATTACCTGATGGGGCTGTGAACTTGACCATCTGCTGTAGGAAGGAGCACCAGAAGTCTTGTTGGCTGTAGTTCTCTGCAAAGTAAAAGATAGACATGTCAAGTATTCACTAACATCTGTCATACACACAGTCAGCTTCACCAATCTCAACCATCTAAACTCATATAGTAAACAAAAAAACCTAAACAAAAACCTCAAGACAATAAATATGATACACTAGCATTAAAATCACATAAAGTTTGCTGAATTTGTCTCTTTAGACACCACCTGCAGCACTGAGTTCAGCTCTGGGGTACCCAACATGAAAGGGAAATGGACCTGCTTGCCTGAGTCCAAAGGAGGGCCATGAAGATGACCAGAGGGCTGCAGCACCTCTCCTATGAAGACAGGCTGTGAGAGTTGGGCTTGTTCAGCCTGGAGAAGAGAAGGCTTCAGGGAGATCTTGTAACAGTCTTCCAATGCCTAAAGGGGGCCTACAAGAAGCAGGAACTTTTTACAAGGTCACACAGGGCTAGGACAAGGGGGAATAGCTTTAAATTCAAGGAAAGGAGATTTAGAAATCATAGAATGGTTTGGGTAGGGAAGGACCTTCAAAGGCGATCTAGTCTAAACCCCTTCAATGAGCAGGGACATCTCCAGCTAGATCAGGTTGGCAGAACCACATCCAGGCTGGCCTTGAGTGTCTCTAGGGATGGCGCATCCACCACCTCTCTGGGCAACCTGTGCCAGTATTTAACCACCCTCAGTGTAAAGAACTTTTTCCTCACATCCAGCCTTAATCTCCATGCTTTTAGTGTAAAACTGCAACCTCTCATCCTATTGCAACAGGCCCTGATAAAAAGTCTCCCCCTGTGTTTCCTATAGGTCCCTTTCAAGAACAGAAGGGCTGCAATAAGGTCTCCCCAGAGTCTTCTCCAGGCTGAGCAACCCCAACTCTCTCAGCCTTTCCTCACAAGAGAGATGTTCTGATCATTTCTGTGGCCCTCCTCTGGACTTTCTCCAACAGGTCCATGTCTTCCCTGTTCTGAGGACTCCAGCTGGGGTCTTACCAGAGCAGTGTATAGGAGCAGAATGACTTCCCTTGACCTGCTGGCCATGCTCCTCTGGATGCAGCCCAAGATACAATTGGCCTTCTGGGCTGCAAGCCCACATTGCCAGCTGATGTCCAATCTTTCATCCACCTGTACCCCCAAGTCCTCCTCTGGGATACTCCAAATCCCTTCATCCCCCAGCCTGTATTGATACCAGGGGTTGCCCTGGCCCACATGCAGGACCTTGCATTCTGCCTTATTGAATCTCATAAGCTTCACATGGGCCCACTTCAAGCTTACCCAAGTCTCTCTGGGTAGTTTCCCATCCCTCAGGCTTATCAATGGCATCACTCAGCATTGTGTCACCTGCAAACTTGCTGAGGGCGCACTCAATCCCACTGTCTGTCATTGATGAAGGTATTAAAGAGTACAGACCCAATACAGACCCCTGAGGTATACCACTTTTCACTGATGTCCATCCAGACATTGAGCTACTGACCATTCCCCTCTGAATGTGACCATCTGATCAATTCCTCACCCACGAGTCCACCCATCAAGTCCATAACTCTCCAATTTAGAGAGAAGGATTTTGTGAGGGGCTGTGTCAAAGGTTTTACAGAAGTCCAGACAGACAACATCCATAGCCCTTCTTTTGTCCACTGATGTAGTAACTCCATCATGGAAGGCCACTAGGCTTGTTAGGCAGGACTTCACAGAAGCACAAAATGGGTTGGGTTGGAAGGGACCTTAAGCATCATCCAGTTCCAACCCCCCCTGCCATGGGCAGGGACACCCTCCACTGAACCAGGTTGAACAAAGCCCTGGCCTTCTATTTGTGCACAGAGCAGCTCAGTGCACAGTGCATTTCTGTACTTATCATTTGGTACCCCACTTATGAAATTCTTTGCATCAATCTCCACAGCACCTTTCAGAGATCCTGACCTTGACTGGTGAAGTCCTGTACTCCTCTTCACTGTCTTGTGGGTAGCTGTGAGAGTCTCTGCCACAGCATGAGTAGGGAACCCATGATATGCAACAAAGTGTGGACCACAGTGCATGCTGAGACTATAGATGCCACAGAACTGTGTGTCAACATGCACAACTGCTCTGACCTACATCTTAAAAATGGTGAAAGTTCTACCTTTGACATCTATAATTTTCCTTTGCACAGGTAAGAAACAAGTCACTTGCCCTTGGTGAAGCTGTGCTGGCCGTCTCAAATCACCTCCCTGTCCTGCACGTGCCTTAGGATTTAGATTAGATATAAGGAAGAAATTCATCATTATGAGCGTGCTGATGCACTGGCACAGGTTGACCAGAGAGGGTGTGGATGTCCCATCCATAGACATGTTCAAGGCCAGGTTGAATAGAGCTTTGAGCAACCTCATAATCAAACTGCCTTTGATAATACAGAAGTATCAAAACACCACACCACACATTCAGTAGCCAAAAATCTTGCAAGTATATCACTATTATATTGTGTAAACTCAGTTATTACAGAAAACTTGTGACAATAAGGCTATGCGTATCAGGAAGAGCAAGTAGATTTGAGTTACCTACTCGTGACATCTGCAGCCAAACAGCCTTTCCAGACACGAGATACTAATTTATCAGTATATTGTGTCACCAGCAGGATGCTAACAGGGGGACATTCATATTTGAACCATATGGGCATAAATTGTACTAAAAAAAATGCAAGTAAGACAATCCATGTGAGATTTATACCACAGTCTAGTATACTCTTTGTAAGTATGAAAATAAATAGCTTATGGCTTTTAACACCCAAGGATGTAGTACATTTCTATGCCAATCATAACCACTAGGGCTTACACATCATTACATAGTCTAAGGCTAGCATATCATTCCCACTAATGAGAAACAGCCACTACAGTAACTGTGCTTTTGTGTTAGTTTAATCAAAACCCAGTTATTTTACAAATGCAGTTATTAGCATTCTTGTATAGTGTATTTAGCTTCTACCAGACACCCTTAGGAGGATAAGCACTTTTTAATAAAAAGATATCCCACACAACAGAATAAAACCTTTTTTTGATAGAAACCTAAAAAAAAACCAAAACAAACAAAAAACACACAATGCTGATTTCAGCTTTATAAAAACTTATCAAAACTATGTTCATCTGCTTCAGAAAAAAGACTGGCCGATCTGTAAATAACAAGTTGAATAACAATAGCTGGAGTTTTCCTGGAAGCATTTGGAAGTTGTTCTCCAGCAAGATGCCTTTCCACAAGCACCACACCTTTCTTTTTACATATATATATAAATAAATAATGAGGAGCCACTGGCACAAGGCTACCATCTGCAGGCTTATGACTGAACACCTCTAAGTATCCTGCCTAGGCACTTGTTGTGCTATTGCGTCATCGGTCACTTGTGTTTGACCCAGGAGATGACAGTCTTGTTCAGAATGTGTGGATGAAGGTCTTCCCAAATCTTCGTTAGCGAAGGCAGGCCTTCCTCATAGGAGAAGGAAAACTCCTATTTTCAGACCCGGGCTGATGGAGCTCGTCTAGCCTTGTAAGGTCTTCCATCATAGAGGACACTCTTACAAAACCTACGACCTGAGGACTTTGCTGTCACCATCCTAGCTCGCTAGGCCCTGGCAGATAAACCTCAGGTGTAAAGGGTGGGGCCAGTTCTGCGCAAGCTGCGCCTCACCTAAAAAATCCACTGCACAGGCTGGAAGGGCTCACTCTCACTCATCTGTATGGACGGGCAAGGTCAAAACAGCAGGTGACAAGGTGCATGGGAAGCTGCAGATCCAGCCTTGCATGCGGGCGGACCAGCGCATGGGTAGCTCGAGATCGCTCAGGAGATGGCAGTCCTGGTTGGACACTTCCTGATTGCCTGAGCACCCTTTTTTCCAACCAGATTTGCATATCCCACTTACCCTTGGTCATCGTGCTTGTAGTAAGCATGGTTAAAGCCCTTCCCAAATCTTCGCTTGCAAAGCCAAGCCAAGCCATGTCTGCCTTTCATATTTTCCCATAAAAAATCTAAATATTCCTCCTGTCTAAACAGAGAAAGAATCTTTGGATTTATTACTTACCCATTGCCTCTAGTAGGTACATTTCCTTTACAGCAATCACTCTTGAACTCTTCCACCTCAATTTCAAGGACATCCCAAATAAAGACATCCCATAGAGAAACAGTATTGCAAAATTACAGAGAAATAAGAGAACCTTTTCCAGGCCAGACAGCCAGCAGACAAGTACTTCCACAGACAAAGGCAGAAGATCATCTTCTGTCTAACTTTACAAACAAGAAAGGACCAGAGCCTCAGAAGTATTTCCAAGCTGACCTCCATCTTCCAATTTGATTACGAGATAAGCACTTTAAGAAGATAACTGTAGAAACAGTAATGTAAGAGGACTTAGATCAGTATTTTCTCCATCCTCCCAGGTTTTTTTCCCTCTATTGATAAATCAGTGAGTAGGGTCACTTGCATGTTCCAAGGTTATAGAGTAAAGGCTTACACTGCTCATATACAGGAGCTTCTTTATCAGATAATTTGAAGTAGATTTTAAAAGATCTAGAAAATACTATCTGAGCTCCTTTTCAAGTTCTAAGGGGCAACAGGAAAAAACCTGAGCTCTCTGACAACACAATTTAAAACATCTACACCAAGCAGTCCCCAACTCTGCCAGGGCCCACAGCAAGCCCCCTAATTTAGCTGTTAGCTAATTTTATATCCAACACACCTACCTTCCAATCTATTTCTACTCCTTGAAAATTGCCTTTCATGTACAAAACCCCCCTCCCAACTATTAATAACTAATTAGGACTGACTACTCTAATTACATGCTTTCTAAAGCTGTTCCTTATGTCCTTGCCTGTCCTTCTCATTCCCTTCACCTGTGAAGACAGATTAAACTCACACAGCTGCAGGTGATCACCAGTCATTTTAAAAGACCAGCAAACTTCTACAAAAAAATTTTAGAAAGATGCAACAATCTTCCTAGCAACGTGTACTTCTGAAGGCAATAAAACTGCTAACTGTGAGGTCTGGTTTCTGAGATGGAAGC